GCAACGTGACGACGGAGAACTGAGGCGTGTCCGAGTTTTCCTGCTCGTCTGTGGAGAGTCGCAGCTTCTTCTGGAGTGGCTCCGAGTCCTCGTCTGCACACACACACAATTATTTCTATAGCCTTAATCTGACAAAAACATCATCGAAAGTTTTTGTTGTTAGTTTTAGTTTCACTTTTATATTAATTGGGGTTTTTCTTACGTATACGTTTTAAGAAGTGTCACATTTATTAGAAAAAACAACAATTATTTTTTTAAATGAGTAATTTAAAAACTCGGAAAATTATCAGGAGAAAAATTTATTTATGAGGAAAAAAAGACAAATTATCAGAAAAAAAGACAAATTTACACGAATAAAAAAAATTCAAAAAAACTTAAAAACTGAGAAATATGAGGAAAAATGATAAGAAAACATCACAAATTTGAACCCTGGTTGTTCTGTTTCCACTCAGGTGCAGTGTAAGAGAAACAAACCCACAGGAGCAAAAAAATAAAATAAATGTGACAATTAAAAAAACAAGTGTTTTAATTTAATCAAAATCACCACAAAGAATGTTAAAATTAAAAACCCCGAACCGACTTTAAGTATACTGATTAGTTACTGATGGCTGATGGGTTTGTGTGTGTGTGTGTGTGTGTGTGTGTGGACCCACCAGAGGGAGGACAGTGCAGTATGATGCTTCCATCACTGTCCTGAGTGAGCGTGACAGATTTGACGGTTTCTAAAGCGCCGGCGTCGTCGTCCTCTGCTGCTAAACTCATCCTGCAGCTGCAGAGAGACACAAAAACGAACTCAGAGCGATTTCACAGCCACAGGTGTTCTCAGGTACTAATTTCTCTACGAACACACCAAATTATCACAATTTGGTGTGTTCGTAGTAGGCTGCAAAGCGGCTTGTAGGTTAGAGGCGCCCTATATAGGATTATTCTCTCTTTTTTCTCAATCAGCGATGCTCCAGAGTCTGCTATACTCAATGATATAATAGAAGAAGTGCTGAAGCAGCTTCTTTGGTACTTACAAGGTTCAACCGGCTGTTATTTTGGCATCAAACACCTCAGGGTCACCTCAATCAGTTAGAAACCTTCATAAGAAAAACTATTTACAGCAAAGATCTGCAAGGACTGCGACAGATTTCGACTCTGTGGATGCCTGAAGATGGGAAAATCAAGATTTCTACACACTAGATCTGACTAATGACTAATCTCAGTCCTGATTAAGCTTGTTAATTATTTGCTTCTTAAAAAAAAAAAAAAATAGTAATAAAATGTCACTTTCCAAGTGAGTCATTTTTCTGTCCATCAGGGTTTTTCTAGCTCCAAATGGGTCATTTGTGTGATTGATCACATAATTATATTTTATAAATATGTACATATATTATATACAGAAAGAAATCACACTAACTGCCTAAAACTCAGATTTCACTGACAGTGATAAAATAATAACAACAACAACAATAATAATAATAACAATGTGCATGGCACAGTTAGCACCCTCTTAATAAAAAGAAGCACAACACGGTAAATAAAACATCATTTATTAATTTTAGGTGAGGTATAGAAGTGCTGCTTTTGTAATTCTTCATCGTATGATGCCGAGTTTGCAAAAATGAAAGTATCAAATGTTTTAGCAGATGTTTTTTATAATGAAAAAAAGCTGATAGGCAACTAAACTAAAATTCACAGTCAGAACTCCCTTCTGAAATCTGTCACTTTAAACTAAGCGCCATCACTGTGACTCAGTTCCAGCAGTGTCACTGTAGATGTGTCATACATGTGATCTTACACCGGTTTATGACGACAATAAATACTGTAAACCATACAAGTTAACATGTGTTACTTTTATTGTGTACACGCCAAGCTCCTTTGAAAAACAGAAGGATTAAAAGAAAAATTGAATGCTGACAGACAGTTGTTTTCCCCAACAATAAAGTATAATAACATTTGTTATTATCAGTTGCGGCCGGTAAATTCAGGGGAGTACCTATCATTTTTTACGTGATTTATAAAATGTAATAATTCTACCCTGCTCGCTGCCGCCCCCCACTGTTTTGAGGGGAAATATAACAAACAAAGAAAGGTGTAATTTTTTTTCAAATATTCCGCATTTCTTTGACAGTGAGTGCACAGAATTTAAGTCTTTAATGTTTTCCTTCAATTTACGATCAATGATATGTTTACTGCCATTTAATTATCAAACCTCTATCAAATTTGGAGGTTTTTAAACGGAGTTTGGCGGACGCTGCTGTGCATCGTTATTTACACTGATGAAAAGATCGATTCTGCGCAGACTAACGCATCTTTAATGGTACGCTTACATGAATATTAGAAAAGAGACCAGCGCTGTTCTAACACAGAAGCTGTAATGTGATACGAACAAAGACCGGCATTCCCAACACTCAGTGACGCTCACTCCATGCTAACCGTTAGCCTGCTGAAAGCTAAGCAGCTGAATGAAAGAAGAAAACTCTCCGGCGCCATGTTAGTCGACAAGCTGCAGCTTATGGCGTCTGTGCAGTTTGACACTGTTTTTGCGCTTTATTCTCGGCTTTGGTGCAGTTTTTATGGCTCCGAGCTTTCTCCGCACCTCTCACTGGCTTCGACTACCAAACAGACGGTGAATTTTACTTTTGATTTGGCTACTTACTTCCTGTTTTTAGTCCGGGAACTTGCAAGTTACCAGGATGAAGGTAAGTGCCAGGATGGAGGCTCGGCTGCGCGAAGGCCAGCGGGTTGCCAGGTCCGTACAGTATCCGTAAATTGTTCATGCCTATGTTAATTATATTTCATGGTTTTTAATAAACGACATCTACGACTGAAGCGCCATAAAAAGGTAAAAAGGAAAACACATTTTGTTTGATTAAAAAATGTAACAAATCAATAAAACTGAAAGTTGTAAGAGGTTGTCTTTCCCCTCATGAATTTTGCATTTTTCTCTGGCAAATGTGTGATGAGTTGTTGTTTTTTTAATTTAACTATTTTTTTCTCATTTATGTTTTATTGGTTTTCTTATTTATACAACATGTACAACAATACAACTTAATCACAATGTGTGTGTGTGTGTGTGTGGGGGGGGGGCAAACAAAAGAACAAAACAAAAAGAAACAAACCAAAAAAATACAACGAGATTATACAAAATCGGGCCTCCCATTTTGTACATAGTTCAACCATTTTCGACCAGTATTCGTCAAATGAGTCCGCCTGCAACTTTATATTCTTTCCATAACAAAAATAGTATATATCACGTCAGTCTACTCATTTATAGTAGGAGTATCCTCATTAAGCCAACAACGGGTTATGGCCTTTTTGGAAGCTACCAACAGCACACTGAACAAATATTTATCCGGTTTACATAGTTTAAGACTCTAAGTTACCTAGGTACAATACTGCAAAATTAAATTGTATTTTCTTTTGGAAGATTGTTTCCAGGACCTTATGTATTTCCTTCAAAAATGGAGCCACACAAGGACATTCCCAAAATATGTGGAAATGATTTGCTGCTGCATGTCCACACTGCCTCCAGCATGTTGTCTTATGGGAATAATTGGATTTTTGAGCCGGGGTATTAAAATAAGGAAATTACATTCTTCCAACTGAATTCCCTCCACGAGGAGGCGCTTGTTACCGACCACTGCTGCCTACAGATCCCATCCCATTCCTCTCCTGTTAGGGATAGATTACCCTCTGTTTCCCATCTTGCTTTAACATATCTTGTATCATGACCCCTTAGGTTGGTCAGTGGACGATATAATTTGGAAATAAGAATGCATCTCTAAATGCATTCTCGAATATGTAAATAATTTCTTCATTCCCAGTCGATAACTGGGGATGTTTTAGCTTTTATTCAGGAAGTCCCTCAGTTGCAAATATCTAAAAAAGTCTTGATTTCGCAACCCAAACTTTTTCTTAAGGTCCTGGAAACTCATCACTTTTCCGTCTTTCAACAAGGTACTGTATGTGGTGAGACCTTTATTAGCCCATGTTTTAAATGTCAAGTCGGTCTTACTAGGGAAAGATTCTGGGTCATATGCAAACCACCTAAGAAATCCAGCTCTCTGATTTAATTGATACTTTTTAAGTACTCTTTTCCATGTCTTTATTGAGCTTACCATCCAATGGTTGCCCGGGTCTCCCAGGAGACGTAACTTTGAGGGATCTCCTATCAGTGCCCCGACAAGGAAGTTGCCTCCCAAGGAAAATTCCACTTCCTTCCATCTTGAACAATATTCAGGTTTACACCAGCCCACCAGAGTCCTTATTTGGGTTGTCCTATAATAAGTCATGTAGGCAAGGGAGGCCCAGTCCTCCTCTATCCTTGGGAAGCTGAAGTGTTTTAAACTTAACTCTTGGCTTTTTACCCGCCCATATAAATCTGGAGAGGATCCTATCCCATTCTGCAAAGTATCTATCAGGGCTTTCTATAGAAACTACTGAGAACTTGTGTTTTTTGTACATTCAGTTTGTATCCCGAGTAGGACCCATACTCCAGTTAATTTAACTATTTAAAGTCTTAGAATTTTATTTTTATTTGCTTATTTTGTTAGTTAATGCTTGATTTTACCTCCCTGGTGAAGTCCTTTAATTCATTCATTCGTTAGTCTTCTGTCCCATTATTGATATGAATTATAAATAAAATAAACAAACACACTGCAGATTTAATAATTAAAACAGAGTAAAATCAGGATTACAGAGCTGAATGGATTTAAGAACAGGTGTAAACTACAGAAAAACAGAAACAACGTACTGAAACACGGCAGCTTCTTCAAACCACTCAAATCAAACCTGGCAACAACTATTTCCGCACTGAAATCTGTCCGGGTAGCCACATGGAATATTTCTTACTGTTTGAGCTAATTCTCTTGTAGTTTTTAGAAATTAAAATTATCAATTTTAATTTAATAAATGTTTGTCTTTCTTAGTGTGTCTCGCGCAGCCGCGTGTACGTCAGCTACTCCCGCTTTGTAAATTACAAATAGTTCCGCCTTTGTTTTAGTCGGACAGTTATTAGCGACGGGCGGTTAATGGAAGCTGCTAAAATCCAAATCCCACATTTTAAGATTTAGAGTAAAAATCTGCTCAGAGACATGGAGGAGCAGCCGCTCAGAGTGTAAGTCTGCTCAGTGAACACAGGACGCAGCGTCCGGTTAAATGTAGCTTCTGGTTAAATCGATGCTGTTTATGTTGTCCATGTTGATTATGTTGTTTCAGCTATGATGTTAGAGGATCTCCGTTTCTAATACAAACACGTTAATAAAAGAAAAATATGAAAACCCTTCCGTTAACAGGCGTGTAAACCTCACCGGGTCAGGGTCTTGTAATTGTTGACTTTTTCGGAACTGTTTAGATGCAAAAATGTGACCACTCTCATCAGACTTAAAACAAATTTCAGAAATTTTAAGCGTTTCTTATTAACTTCAGATTTATATGTTATAAATACGCGTTTCACTGCTGAACGTCAGTGTTCAGCAGAGGAAAAATACGGCATACATCTACCCCCAGGATAGGTTTTAAAGCCGTCCGCCTAATGTAAAATCTGTTTAAAGGTTTGAAAATATACGAGGTCATCACTTTTATTTCGGCATAATGTATTACACTGAAATATACAGAACTTCATTAAAAACTTGCATGATTCAAGGTTGCATTAAACAGTCTCCACATTTATTTACGTCATACCATGTGACGTAGAGGCATGTTTGATATTTGCAGTTTGTGGTGAAAAATCTGCACTTTACCAGAATATATTAACGTCATTTTAATTAAACAGAATGATATCCATGAATCCTGTTGATCTAGTTTATTTTAATGTAAGAGGCACTTTGTGCTATTGATGTTTCAGTGTCCAACTTTACCAATGAGTAAGGCATCATTCAAGTCCCAAAAACACAACAGGTGTTTGGAGACTGTCTGATGTTTTCCAGAGGAAATCCTCTATGAATTGTCTAGATTGTTAAAATATTAAAACATGCGTGTTTCTAGTTTGGCGTGTGGGGACGTTGAAGGCCGTCTGAATGCTTTGTTCAACCGAGTCCAGGCCATCCAGAAGAAGACTGGGCAGTTTGATGTGAGTCAGATGCGTCACATTATCCAGTTATCATTTAAATTTTTTTTAATGATTTGTGGGTTTTTATTTCTGTTTAGTTTTTTTTAATGTAAATTTGACAGGTTTTTTTTGTTATACTAGCCATGATTTTATTTTAAATGTTTTTCTTTGTTAAAAATTATTTTAATTGATTACATTTTTATCATAATTTGTTTTTTCTCATACATGTCCTTTTTCCACATAGACTTGCCTTTTTTACAGTAAGCTTTTTCTTAGAAATTTGCCATTTTCTATTCTTTTACCAGTTTTCCTCTGTAAGTTTGTCAGTTGCTTTTACATGAATTTGTCAGCTGTTTCTTTTTTCTGGCAATTTTGCGTTTTTTCTTCTAAATCAACCGGTTTATTTATTTTCAATTCACACTTGTTTATAGACTTGTCCTTACAGACTTTTTCTGGTAAATATCTCATTTTGTTTCTCATAAAACTTTTTATTCTTTTTTTTCATTCTAAGTTTTTCCCCATCCATCCCCTTAAATGTTTTCTTGTTACCTTCAATGAACTGGTACATCATTGTATAGAACTGTGTGTTAAGTTATCATATTAAAACACCTGTAATCGTATTTAAGTTGTGGTGATTTTCACATCTGTTTTCCACCAGCTGCTGCTGTGTGTTGGAGAATTTTTTGGAACAACGCCGGAAGCTGAAGCCGAGTGGCAGCTGTACAAAACCGGAGCCAAGAAAGGTGAAAAAATCTGGAATATCTGAGCAGATGCTCATCTTTATTGTTGCTTTTGACCACAGGGGGCGCTGTTACATTAATAGAATTGCATAAGAACTCAACAGCGCCTCCTATGTTCATGCTGAAAGCAAGCATGTTTTTTGGCTTTTTCTGAGGAAACTCAAAAGCAATGTTCCCTCTAAGCTGCGCACGTGCGCAATTGCGCACTGCTGGCACGGTCTCTGCGCACAGAAAATCTGCGTTGCGCACAAAAAAAAACTAACCTGAATTGAAATGATAGTAAATATGTTAACAATTCTGTTTTGCAGTGTTAGTAAGTAACTGGCTGCTCCCGTATGGGATTAGAACGATGCCACCTTATCCCATAGTCCAGCCAATAATGCGATTCACATTCGTATATGCGCAGCTAATCAACGTTGTTGACAGGCTCTGACAGCGTCCTTATGTGCCGACACCGGTGTTTTAGCTAGCAAAGCGGCGTGACTGATGTGGAGTGAAGCCACGTTAATGACAACGTGTACAACCATTGGAGATGTGAGCAGGACAGACGGGACAATTGACGGAAAAAGTGTGGACTTTATACCAGTTTTTAAATTGTGTTGATAGGCCACGTAAAACCAGAGTTATGATAAAAATATATGCAATGTTTGGTTTTCTTCCTGAATACTATCGTTGTTTATATTTACTGCGGGAAGAAACGGTAAAAACAGCGTTTTATACGGAAAAAGGTTTGAAAGCACTCTCCACCTGTGAGCAAAAACAAACTCCACCCACCCTCTCACCCTTTCCTATTCGTCCAAAAAAGTACCATGTCGACCAATCAAAAAATGATTTGGCAACATGGCATTTAGTTGTTTAGGAAGGGGGGAAGTTTTAGGAGTGACGGCGGTGTTTTGAGATGTGAGAGATTTG